AGTTTTAGGTTCACAGCAAAATCAAGTGAGAAGTACAAAGAGCTGAGGAACCTTTAACTTTAATATCTGAAATACATAAAAAAGTAATAACAGCCAGGCTTGGTGGCTTGCACCTGTAATCCTAGCACTTTGGAAGGCAGAGGTGGGAGGATCACTTGAGGCCAGGAGTTTGAGGCCAGCCTGGACAATACAGCAAGATGCCATCTCTACAAAAAATTTAAAAATAATTAGCCAGGTATGGTGGCGTGCACCTGTAGTCCCAGTTACTTGGGAGATTGAGCCAGGAGGATCAGTTGAGCCCAGGAATTAGAGGTTATAGTGAGCTATGATTGTACCACTGCACCCTAGCCTGGGTAACAGAGTGAGACTCTACCTCTAAAAAAAAAAAAAAAAAGATATATTTCATTCAATGACTTAAAATACAGCAGTGTGGGTTAATTCAAGTTTTTAGGAAAGGGGAGGAGATGAAAGTAGATAACGGTTTTGATAAAGAATCTTTACCTTTGTATTCTTTATAACAATCGGATATTTCATTCCTGAAAAAAAAAAAAGAATTAGTAAAAGATTTATTTTTAGCAAAAGAAGGCCAACATTATTTGAATTATTATACTAGTAACAAACTTAAATGATCTTCTTTGTCATAACCATGACTGTACCCTACTTTTCATTCTGAAGCTTTTTACTAAGTAACAAGATTAAACTAGTTCATACTTGACAATATATAAAACTCTAGCATGTTTCTACCTTGTTTTATTTTAACTCATCTAATCTATGCTTATAAACCATTCCCCACCTCAGCTCCAACAGAGACATCCCAGTTTTTCTCTAAACTATAATCCTGGAAATCATGCTGTACAATGGATTATCATAAGTCAGTATACATTTTCCAATAGGACTAAAGCTATGATATGAGAAACTTGTGTCCAAGTGTTGGTTACCTGATTCCTTACAGGTTCTAGGTTGTTTAGAGAAGAGATATCACAACACAAAAACTTCTTATAATAAACTGACCATTTATTTAATCTGAGTTCCCACTCAGATACATTGGATCTCAAAGTCTTATAAAGCAGATGTATGGCAAATGAAGAATAGAATCTACCTGCAACATAAATTTGATTTATTATGCTACCTACCTATAACAAACTTAATTATTTAAAATTTTTGATTATTTTAGAATTCAGGAGGACACTGAGAATGATTCAGATGGCCTACATGTTCTTAAAAACTTGTCAAGGAAAAAAGAACAGAGCACTACTTCTTTTCTCCTTCAAATTTCCCAACAGCCAATAGAAGGCTTAAAAATCTTTCATTCAGTTAAAAAAAAAATTAAAGCCTTAAAAAAGTCTTTAAAAAATTAAAGAGCAACAAAACAAACTCTAAGTGTAGTCTTAAATGAGGAGGGAAAGGTAGTTCAGAAAGGCTGAGCCATTTTATGACATTGGGCTATCATTCTGAAACTCAGTGTATCTAAGAATCACTAAAGGCTTATTCCAGGTTAAGCTGATTCAGTAAATCTGGGTGATGCTAAAATCTGCATTTCTAACAAGGATTGTCAATGGACTCCAACTCTAACCGGGAAGTGTTTGAGGGCTAATTTTCCATAAACAGCCTTGCCAGATTTTAGTACCAGTCAGAAGTATCTGATCAGTGCCTAGTTCTATCACAGAAGACCTTCCAGAGTCCTTGGTCTCCCACATTCAGTCTCACCCTTGTCCCTTCTACACCTACCTCTGGTTCTGTACCCCACTCTAGCCTGCCTCCTAGTGGCCCTCCCACCAGCACTACCCCAGGGAAAAACAATCCCAAGTTTTTTTAACAAGTCAATACAAGTACAGTCATCCCTCAGTATCCATGGAAGATTGGTTCCAGGAACTCCAAGGATACCCAAATCCACACATGCTCAAGTCCCTTATATAAAATGCCATAGTGTTTGCATATAACCTACACACATTCTCCATATACTTTATTTTATTTTTTTGGGTCAGAGTCTCACTCTGTTGCCCAGGCTAGAGTGCCATAGCATCAGTCTAGCTCATGGCAACCTCAAACGCCTGGGCTCAGGCGATCCTTCTGCCTTAGCCTCCCGAGTAGCTGAGACTACAGGCATGAGCCACCATGCCCGGCTAATTTTTTGTATATATATTTTTAGTTGGTCAATTAATTTCTTTCTATTTTTAGTACAGACAGGGTCTTGCTCTTGCCCGGGCTGGTTTCAAACTCCTGACCTTGAGCAATCCGCCTGCCTCAGCCTCCCAGAGGCGGGCGGATTGCTAGAAGTAATCCCTTCTAGATTACTTACAACATAAATGCTACATAAACAGCTGCTATACTGTATTTTTAAAACTTATTCATTGTTGTACTGTTATGGCTTACCATCTTTACTTCTAGAAGGGCTTTCTTTAGCCATTTCAATATCTTTTACTTCAAAACTGGTCAAGACAGAGCCACCTGCTTCTTGGAAATCCTGGGCAAATGACAAAGCCACCTGCCGATAGTCCACAATGCCAGTATATGGACAATCAATAGCCATTAGACCCTGGGACAGAATTATGAAAAAACAAACAACATATATATAATGTGTCTAACATATAAAAAACATTAAAAAAAAGATAAATAAGAAAATTTCTATAATCAAGAAGCAATTTTCTTCCTTAGAGGAGTTAATTTTGCCAGGTTCTCCTAGCTGCTACTCCATTTATTCATCCCTCACCATACCTGCTTCTGATCTGACTCATATCTGATTCTGAGTCAAATTCTATATCATCAAACAAGTATGTTTTAAAATGCTCTACTGAGATTTTCCCAGTAGTGTATCACGTCATGCATATTCAGTGAGAACTCAGAGTTGTTCTAGTTATTCACAATGCTTGCGAAGCATTGTTTTCATTTGCTGCAGACCTTATACCTTATATTCAAGACTACAAATATGGAATGAAGATTTTAATGTGGCTAACTCAAACTTTCTCTTCAGATAATATAAGAAATTAACAGCCTGACTTTTTTGGTTGTTTGTTTGTTTCTATTTTTGTCCCCCAAGACATGTCCAAACTCTAGAAAAATGAACTATAACCCATGCTTATTTTATTTTTTGGAATGAATGTTGAAAATGCCATTGGCCTTTTCTAATTCTGAAGAAAGGGATAAGAGTAGAATTTCACACACTAAATATGGACTACATTTTGGTGATCCTTGTCAATAGTACCATTTTCCGTTGCCTTACTGTGTATTTATCAGTTCTCCCAATCAATTTCCCCTAAAAGGGTGGCTTGGTTTCCAGGATAACTTAACATCCAGAAGCTGAATGTAAGGCAACTGGTAAAATTCTGCTGTCCTATTGTTGGGCCAGCACAGCAGTGTTGTTGTTGCAGTTTTAGAATATTATCTGACATAATATCATTTTAAATATCTCACTTTTGTATTCACCACCCTACCCCCATCTCAACATTTTACCTGCTTAGCCTCTAAAAGCTTTTGACTTTGCCATCCAACCCTAACCAATGCTTTCAAATGGCCAGATCATGCTAAGGGTAAAGACTCACAAAACACCCAATGATCTCTTTTCGCAAACTGAAAGCAACATTTGGCAAACTTCAATGTTTTCCTGACAGTCTTGTTTCTAGAATATGAGAGCATTTACCAAGAATAGGAAATCATTTCATTTTGATACATTTGCTGCACAGAAGACTTTACATTAGACCTAGTCACTGCCCAATAATCCCTACATTTACAGGTTAATAACTATAACTCAGCTTCAACCTATAAATAGTATTCTGGGTTCAATAACTTTGAAAGCTAATTTAGGATAATACCAAGAGTTTAGTCCACAAAATTTTCCTTACCTAGCATAAAACTATGTGACAAGTATGATAGATAACAAGAGGGATAAAAGCATGCTGTAAAAGTGCTTTGTTCTGGATCAATAGTTTTTTGGAATACCAAATATCTTCCCTATTCATACTTTATTATTAACTCAGCACAATGCATGACACATAGAAGGCACTCAAATATTTAAGGAATGAAATTTTGAGGGCTGCCTTTAAACATATAATATTTCTCCCACTCCAGACTTTCTCTAAAGGGTTTCCCTTTTCTTTCTCTTTCTAGACTTGGCTTTGTCCCTCCTCATGAGATGCTGGTGTGGCCCCATCTATAAGTGTGTATTGGGGGAAAGTGAAGAGTCACCACTGCCAAGCAATCCAATGCCCTGGCCCAGGACTAGCTGCAGCGCCAGTGCGAGGCAGCCAAGTCAGGATGGCACTGATAGACAGACTGGCTGTGTCTGTTAACCAGGAGGCTGGTTATGCACTGTCCAGGTCAGCAGGTCAGAGCTTGAAATCTGAAGCCATGGCAAGTCAGGTGGCTAGAAAAGAACCAGGCAAGCAGGACAGGGAAAGTTGGGAGTAGAACTCAATCAGGAGACAGAGGAACAGATGAATATGTCATTGGCCAAGCATGTTAAAGGCAAGGCAGAAGGATCAGCAGAGCCAAGGTCAGAAGGTAGCAGTTAGGAAGTGCCCGAGAAGGAGCTGCAAGAGTTACTCTCCAAAGTCAAAGTTTACAGAGGCAGTTTAAAATTTTCCATGAGCATCCCACTGGTGATACTTAGTTTTCTTCTCAAAGGGACCTGGTCCAAGAAGCCCTTTAGAGTTGCCCAAATAAATAGCTTATGTCTAGAAGGCCTGGCAGAAACAGAAGTGATCCTGTACCATGGATATTTTCCCCACTGTTTCTGGCAGTGGTGGTGAGGTTGGGGGAAAGAGAGGAATTTATTCAAGCAACATTTATGAAATAATCAGACTATATTTTCCACTATATATTGCCACCCCTAAATACATGTAAACACTAATGATTACATCTTGGCATTACACAAAGTGCATCACTTCTGTGGAGGCCTCAGAGAGAAGTAGGATACACACCTTTTATAAAAGTTACTCAACTCATTCATCTTTTAAGGTGGGAGATCATCTCTGAGAAGGTTTTCTTAAACCTTTGGACTAAGCTAAAAGTGTGCCCTTACATTGGTATAAAACAGAGAACTTATCAGCTCTATCAGAATACTTATCACTATATTAAAATGATATTTTCTGCTACATTGTAACTCCCTTCAGGTTGACAGCCACATCTTACTCATCTTCACATCAGCAGTCCCTATATAGTGTTTGGCACATGATAAACAAGAAAATTTTGGTTTAACCAAATCGAAAAAAATACCAGGTCTGAGCCAGATCTTTGGCTGGGGAATTCCTTAGGAGCTTTGTTAAAGTGGCCTGGGAAAGTAGCAACCAGTTTCTCTGTTTATCAGACACAAAAATACACATATATATGTAATTTTATTACCTATACACACATATCTACCTCATTCCAAGGTGCAGAGAACAGTATCCATACTCATCCTTAACCTTTACAACATGTAAAAAGTTTTGTTTTGCTTTTTCAATCAAGTAAGATATAAAGAATCATGGGCTCTTGTTCCTATTTTTTCTATCTTTAAATTCTTCACAAGGATACACAACAGATAACAATCAGATGAAATCTCCCAGATCCCCCAAATTTCAGTACCACCACAAAACCAGAATCCTGTTTTTCAAACTCTACAATCAAATCATTTTTACCTCATGACCAAATCTACAGTAGGGGGTCAACAGCTCAGGCATAATTTTTTTCCCTCTTGACACCAATCTTAAAGTTTGAAAGAGCTTTTCATTAGCAAATAAAAATAACATGTTGGCAGGGCGCAGTGGCTTGTGCCTATAATCCTAGCACCCTGGGAGGTTGAGGCTGGCAGTTCGCTCAAGGTCAGAAGTTTGAAATCAGCCTGAGCAAGAGCAAGACCCCGTCTCCACTAAAAAAATAGAAAAAGAAATTAATTGGCCAACTAAAAATATATAGAAAAAATTAGCCAAGCATGGTGGCACATGCCTGTAGTCCCAGCTACTCGGGAGGCTGAGGCAGCAGGATTGCTTGAGTCCAGGAGTTTGAGGTTGCCGTGAGCTAGACTGACACCTCAGCACTCTAGCCCAGGCAACAGAGTGAGACTCTGTCTCAAAAAAATAAAATATAACATGTTAAAAGTTGGCATGTCTTTTTGAAGGAAATTATCAATTGTTTCATTTCCAAAGGTCATATTTGATAGAAACATGTCAGTGAGATTCTTTCTATAAATTCAAATTTGAAAAAAATTTCCTTTTATTATTACTATTTTTTAAATCTTTAGAATGTATGAACTTTTTATTTTTAGTTGACATGAAATAATTGTACTTATGGAATACAGAGTGATATTTTAATGAATGTATACAATGTGTAATGATCAAAACAGGGTAATTAGCATATCCATTACCTCAAATATTTATCATGCCTTGTGCTGTGAAAATTTAAAATCCTCTCTTCTAATGTTTTTAAAATATGTCAGTGAGATTCTGACATCTTAGTTTCACAACCAAATTCCACAAAATCACATAAAGCTATAAAACAGCAATTGGTTTAATATACTTTCAGGAAGCATATGTCAAATAAAATTTATAGAAGGACACTGTTTGGGACTGAGCTTCTGCACTAGACCCAATGCACAAAACCAAAATGGAGTCACTCAGGCTAAAAATTCCCTATCTCCAGACCAAAACCAACCTGGTTATCTGACATTCCAAGAAATCAGGGAAGAACCTGGCCCGGTGGCTCACGCCTGTAATCCTAGCACTCTGGGAGGCCGAGGCGGGCGGATTGCTCCAGGTCAGGAGTTCGAAACCAGCCTGAGCAAGAGCGAGACTCCCTCTCTACTATAAATAAAAAGAAATTAATTGGCCAACTAATACATATATAGAAAAAATTAGCCGGGCATGGTGGCGCATGCCTGTAGTCCCAGCTACTTGGGAGGCTGAGGCAGTAGGATCACTTGAGCCCAGGAGTTTGAGGTTGCTGTGAGCTAGGCTGATGCCATGGCACTCACTCTAGCCTGGGCAACAAAGTGAGACTCTGCTTCAAAAAAAAAGCCAAACTCTTCTACTCACCTAATCAGGAGTGCTTTTTCTAAATCTTTAGATGAAATGCTCCCTTGGTTCATGAATCACTAGTAAAAGCCAATTAGATCTTTCATCTAAATTTGTTGTAATTTTGTCTTTTAACACACTCAGTAGTTTTGTAAGGCACTGTATAGATTAGGAATAGGAAGTGAGTTTAATCTCGTTTTTTAATGGACTATTTTTTAGAGCAGTTTTAAGTTCACAGAAAATTAAGCAAAAGGTATAGAGATTTCCCATATACTCCCTGCCTCCACATTCATATAGTCTCCTGATCTCTTAATCTCTTAAAAAAATACCAGTATTTTTTTTCCTTGAAGCATGACATCAGTGTAAACAGTAAACTCTTACATGAGTTATTCATAATCCTGGTTTTACAATATGCTAGGATCTCTCTCCATTGTTTTTAAATAGCCTATTTCACTCTACAAAGGAATTACTAGTGCTTAAAGGAAATAAATAGGATAAAATAATGAGTTAAAAGTAAAGCATTCGAACAGGCGATGGCTCACGCCTGTAATCC